TGCCGGGAAGGGATGCGAAAGGCTCCTCGGAGTCCTGCGCCGGAGGACGGGAGGGGACTCGGTCGCTGTGCTGGCTCCAGCAGCGAGACAGGGGACGTGGATGTGACACTGGCACCTGGGGAGGGAAGGAGAAAGCTCATTAACGGCCGCGATGCTCGGCTCAGCCCGCGCAGGGGAGCACCAGGGGGGAGCTGCACAGTGGCAGCTATTGGGGTAACCCCCTGCCCAGACCGCAGGGGTGTGTGGAAGTGGAAAGCAGTTGGTTTATCTGGGGTTTGGGGTGTGCTTTGCTTTCACAAGAGAGGGGACAGAGTGGGCGTTCAGCTCGGGAGGGCTCAGAGCACCGAGGAGCCAGGCAGGACTCACCAGGAAACCTCCATGGACATGACAAAGGAATGAAAAGTTGAGGGAAACGGAGCGCTTAGCGCTTTTTTTTTGTGTGTGTGTGTGGCAGGGAGGAGGGCCCAAGAACTGTAACAGACAAAACAAAAAGACCCTTTTTCTCTTTTTCCACCAGTTCCTCCAAAACCATCCATATGACTGACATTTCCAAGGAGTTGATTAATCCAGTCTGGGGCCAAGCTCAGACTGCACATGTTTCCATCTGCCCAGGGTTAGGAAAAGCCTGATTTTCATCGATGTTCCTCCCCAGGCCAGCCACTCCCTTCCGACGCTGCCTGATAAACTGGCTTTGGAGACAACCAGCTGCTTGGAAAGCGCAGCAGAGGCAAAAACTGCAGTCCCTGTTTATCCAGCCTTGCTGTTATACAACGCATGCAAATGGATTTCCCTAGGAGCCACCGAGAGAAACCAGCCATGACTTTGTTCCAGCAATACCAGTGAGGTTGAAACAGGTTGCAAGCAACCAACCCAGCAGCATGCAGCTGAGCTGCAGCGTTTGGAGCCCGGAGATTATCCTGAGGTTTTTTTCAGGCTGCTGTTTGCAGGCACCTGGGGCTTTTGCACAGGAAGATGTCCGGATGCAAGCAGGGCTCTGTGGAAGGAGCTGGTAGCAATGCATGGCAACAAAACCCTACAGCTTCTTGCAAGGTAAAAGCTGACCAAGTGCTGCTCCACGTGGAAGGGAAACCAAGCCAGGCAGCAGTAAAACCGTCTTGGCAAAAGGGTCGTTATCTAAGCTGTAATTAAATAATCAGGAAAAGTCACTGAACAGATCTGACGTTTAGTGTGACCATGGTATCAGAATACAGCTCTGCACCTGGCACGCTGCCTAAATCCTCGCAGGAGCTTCGGGGCCAAAGATCAGCTTTTAGGTGCCAAAGCTGCCTCAAAACCTGCAGCTTTGACTGCTCAGTGCCCACTCAGTGGCAGAGTCCAGCTGCTGCTGCCGCCCTGCAGCCTTCGCGGGAGCCAAACCCACCAGACGGCTCCAGTGGGAGCCACAAAATGGGCTCTGAGCTTTCGGACGAGCCCTAGGAATAAGTGCCTGAGCAGTGCCTGGCCACCAGCCTCTGCTCCGTACCGCCCAGACCATGAGGAAGGTCCTGCAGGAGCTGAAAGGCACGGGGAGGGGAACCCCTAGCTCCTAGCTGCTACGGGATTTGGCTCATCCCCATTTGTTTTGAGATGGGAGCTCTGACATCTCCACCCCAGGGGAGTGTTTGCAGCTCAGCAGCCAGCACGGAGGGATGCAGTGACTCCCCTCTTCATCTCATCTTCCATGGCTGGACCATGCAACCTGCAGCTCCCTCGTCCCAGTGACCGTCCCAGCCCCCAGCTAAAGGCTCCTCTCTCTGGCCCAAGCCCATCTCTGTCCCTGAAAACGAGAGCATCACACAGGGCAGATAATTTGGAGAAGCCACTTTTAATTTGGAGATGGGCAGCTTGGAGAACTTGTTCCTGGTACTGCCTGAAGTCACTGCTGGGGAGGGTGTAGAGTTGTCCCCCCCAACTGTCACTGCACAGGGCTGCAAGAGACCACCCAGCATCGTCCCCTGACTGGGCTTTGTTTGCGTTTATGAACACAGAGAGCCTTTAGTATTTCAGTATTTCATTTCCCTTTTGTAACAGCCCACCTCCTCCTGGCTCCACAGTCACGGGTGGGAGGAGACCGGGCTTTCCCGTTTCGTACTGCTAATCATGCTTGATCCCAGGAATCAACTGCTGGCAATAAGCACTAAATTAATGTCACATGGCATCCTTGGCAGGGGCACCGGGACCTCTGCCGAAAGGTGCCCTAGCTCCAGCTGGGAAGGGTGAAGGCCATGCCCTTCAGGAAACAGTTCCAGCTGATCAGTTTTATGCTTTAAATTAAAAGCAGGCTTGGTGCTTTATGATCAGTATTTTTCAGGGAGGTATTATTTGGGTTTCAGGGCTGGCATGAGTGCAGCCTCATCAGTTTATAGGTAAGAAAGAAGGTTGTTTTTTCCACAAGTTCAAAGTACTGTTTCCTGCTGCGATTGCCCAGGCTTTTCCCCACCCACCCAGCTTGCTCTGCTCTGACAGCACCTTGGATGGTCCCTCCTGAGCCTTCTCCAGCTGCAGGGTTCCCCTAGGATTAGCATTCCCAAAGCACACCAGCACTTTGGGTGCTCCTTCTTGAAGAAGGATCCCATAGGGATCAAAACAGATGTTGCAGCAGAGACTGGCTGCAGGCCAGAAGACCCCTTGGCCAGACCTGCTGTAGGACAACAGCGTAGTTGTAGCATCCTGTAGCCCATTACACCTCAGTTCCTCAGCCCAGTTTTGGCACAGGTGTAGCCAGGACAGCCAAGGCAAGCACGTGGGACATGGCTGGTGGGGCATGTGCAACGCATTCAGGTCTGGCCTTCACTCACCAGTCTTGGTGCTTTATTCAAGGAGCTGTCACAGTGGCTGAGGCCATAACAGTAACTTCAATTAAAAAGAAAAAAAAAACCAAAAAAAAACCCCCAAAAAAATGCCTAGAAAAATGAAGTGAAGAGACATTCTGTCTGGCAAGAACTCATGTATATTTTAAATACTTGTTTTAACCGAAGAGTGGAAGCGAAGCCAAAAAAGCACATAAAACCCTCACACAGTGACTTTTCACCAGTTTTATTTGCAGGTTGGCACATAACAGTTCCTAGTTTTCTTGTGCTTGTGCCAGGCTCCAGATTACAGGAGGAAAAAAATATCTATACAACCCCTGCAAAGCTGTTTATTAGGTCTGAACAACCCAAATGCAGTAGGGAGGAAAAAAGGTAGGAGAGGAAAATAACTTCTCTGTGACTTTGGAGACTGCTTTTTATTCAGTGGCTTAAGAATCACCTCCCTCCTCAAAATATTCTCTATTCTTATTGCCAGCAGTGCAGCTGGTGCTGAGTTTTAATATTCAGATGCGTCTGCTACCAGAGAAAATTAATTTTCAGCTCTAGGATGGCTCTTAAAGGGAGGCCTCATTGACCTGAGTTGAAAATGATGGAGTCTTCACACTCTTTGCTGCAATATTTAATAGCTGAGTGGCAGTTAATTAGATTACTGAGCCACTGTGACAGATGCTAGGCAACGCCTGAGGAGGAGAATTGGGAAAGGCCATTATCTTCCAGTGCCGCGAAAGGTCTCAGAGATCTCATTTTAACCCTTTCCACTCTTGCCCTGCCCTCGCTGTGGTCCCACCCATGTTAAAACCAGGTGTTTGGCAAATCAAAGGCCGGCATAGTGCTCTGGGTGCTTTTTTTCCGCCTGAGAAAAGCAGGTGGTCACGTTGGGCAGATGTCTGGCAGAGGTGCCAGGAGCTCCTTGTCAGTTCCCAGCTGGCATCAAAAGAGATGGATCAGTGGGAGATGCCAGTAATTTCACCCACTGGGTGATTCCCAGGCACACCAACCACACCAAGTGCGAAGCAGGGAAGTGAGAGGGTGTTAGAGGGTTTGGGCAACATTCCTTCTTCCCTGTATTAAGTGAAGTGGATTTTGATGAGTCTATGGAATAATTTCCCTCCCCACAGTCCCCACCTTCCAAATAAAACTCTAAGTGAAGCTTGTCAATCCCGCCCCCGTACGTGAGGGTTTCCCAGCTCCTTCAGCTAGTTGGGAGGCCAACCACCAAAGCAGGGTGATGTGTGTTGCCGGCGCTGTGAAACTGCAGACTGAGCTAGCAGAGGTGTTATGGACTTCCTGGGAAGATGCTGCTGTGCAGTTGTTGCCCAAATCAATATCTAGCTTTTGCAAGGCAAGGTGAGAAGAGGTTTTGGCCTTTGCCGGGCCAGCTGCATCTCAGCACAGATTCGTGAAGACATGCAAAGCTCAGTGGAGTGAAACTGGTAACCAGAATGGCAACTGGACATGCCACTGGGGAGGAGAGAGGAGGAACCAACTGCTGTGTCCCAGTGGCATTGCAATAGCACTTTCCCTGAGCAAGTGAGAGCTGGAGCACCACGATGACACAGGACATCATGAGTTTCCACCAACTTTCTTATTCTCACACACCACAAAACACCGATAAACACATTCTTCTTCTGATTACAAAACCCCCTCCCTCCCACTCAGGTCTCACACAGAAGTCTCAGAAGTTCTGATTTAACAAGCAACAGTCTGGATGTTAAATAAACACCAGGACCATCAAATACACCATGGCTTCTAAGCTTCTGCGTCTGCTACCCACTGAAATGTAAATACAGAACATAAAAAGAGATCCAGGATTTGCTGGCATCCCAACGGTCACTTGCCTACATATTCATCAACTCTGAATAAATCACTCCAATACCCAGCAAAAATACTGAACTACTGAGACTTTTTCCAAAGCACTTGTGGCTCTGGTATCTCCCAGGACTCACATCTAACTTTTAGAAATCGTAAACCCCCTCAACTGCACGGGGACAGGATGTATTCCATGGTGGTAGCCATGAGAGCAGGCATGGATGCATCTGCCCTCCCATATCTACCCACACACAGAAGGGTGATGCTGGCCCATCCAGCTAGCTCGGAGCAGAGGGAGAGGGGCTGTGGCCTGCTTGCAACCATCTATGTACATGTATCTCTTAAGATACTAAATGAACCATCTGGAAACGAGAAACCTTGGCACTAGCTAGATTTACAACATGGCAGAGCCGATTACTCTTCTCTGGTGCTGCATCCCGCCTTTAAATGCGCCCTTCTCCTAAAACGTGAGCAACCTGGAACCCATGGCTTTGGCACGGTGCATGGAGACACAATTGAGGTGAGAAAGCAAGTTTCGGTTTAAGAGGAAGAGACCCTTACCTTATTGACCTCCTGGATACAAGCCCTCGAGCCCTCACCCTCATCATGATGGCAGGTGCTTCCAGGTGCTGACAAAAGCTGTGGGGATGAGCGAGTAAGGCACCGTTGTGATACAGTTCCACGTGTCTGACGTAGGGTCGTAGCAGTCCAGCGTTTTGCACCTCTGAGTCCCAAAGTAACCCCCCACCACGTAGAGTTTATTCCCCGAAGCCAAAGCGTGGCATGACATGCGCTTGGCTGTCATGTCCCCAATGCGTGTCCACTGGTCCGTTTCGCAGTCAAAGCGGTAGGCAGATGCTGCTGTGAACTCGGTGTCTCCTCCCATGATGAAAATCTGGCTGCCCAGCACAGCGGCTGCTGTGTAGCGCCAGGGCTGTGGGCATTCAGCTTTGATCATCCATCGATTCTCAGCTGGATCATAGCACTGAACTTTGGACACCATGTCTCTGTGAATGCTGGTTCCACCAAAGACAAAAAGCTTGAGTCTGGCGCTCACCACCGCAGCGTTGCTCACTCCATCTCTCAAGGGAGCCACCATTGTCCATTTGTTGGATATGGGATCATACTTCTCTACTTGCTTCAAGGAAACAGAAGGAGATGCAGGAAAGACTCCAGCTACTGCGGTGTGTCCACCAACCACATACAGGCAGTTTTCCAATTCAGCCGAGCCATGCCCAAACCGAGCTATTAACATTGGGGCAGCTTTTGACCATTCCTCATGAACCGTGTCATACACCCATACATCTTTTGAGACCCCGTTCTCCGAGCCCCTGCCTCCAGTGACATATACTTTGCAGCCAATGGCACAGGCACTAAACTCCTTCCGTGGACTTGGCAGGTCTGCTTTGGGGATAATTTCCTTTGCTTTGTGATCCACTTGGTAGATCTTATCACACATGAAGGTCTGTCCTCCCAGGATCAGCAAGGTGTGCCCAGCTTTGCGAGGCCTGGCACAGGGACTGGTGACCACCCCATCATTTTGGAGGATCTTCTTCTTGCACTGAATAGCTTCATCCAAGACAAGCTTGTTCCTTTCATCCACCATGATCAAGTCCTCACAAGCCAAGGCTTCCTTGAGGCATTCAGAAGGAAGCAAGGCCAGACGAACGTTCCTCAGAAGTTCTGGAAGATAAGCCTTCCGCTCATCCAGATCGTATTTCACCCACTGGATGACAGCCTTAAAGACCTTTTCCTCATCCTCAATTTCCAGCTCATCACTGGAGATGAGGTCCAGCAGCGTGTCCTTGGAAAGGTTGTTGAAGTCCTCACTCTTGTGAACAGTCTCAAAGTTGACCAGGCACATCCTCCAAGAGAGCTCATAGAGCCGCCGGCACTGATGAGCGTCCGAGAGCAGCATCATGCCCAGGCAGTTGGAAGGGTAGAGGTTCTTCTCCAGGAACTCAGCCGCTGCGTCTCGGACGTCATGGAACTGCAGCATGTCTCCAGCCTCCAGGAGGGACTCTGCATTCTCCTCATTGATGATGATCCGAGAGGAGTAAGCAAAGTCCAACAATAGCTCTAGCACCTCTGGGTGGAGGCTGTCGTGGAAGTTCACCTCATCATCCAGGCTCTCCCGGAGGCCATTACTAAACATGGCTTCGAAGTATCTGCTGGAGGCAGCCAGCACTGCCCGATGACATGGGAACGACCTGTTTCCTGCCCAAAGGGTGACATCGGTGAACATGCAGTGCTTCCGCAGCGTGTTCAGATGTGACAAGACGCAGTCTGGGTGGGAAGCTTTGTGAAAAAGCAAGATGTTCATGGAGCCGGTGCTAGTCCGGGATTTACGGTTCTCGTGGACACTGACTGACATGATGACAGAGCTCTTGCCTGCAGAGAGAAAAAGAAAAACAGAAAACTTATTATTCTCCTATCTTTATTGATGTAAGGCACAGAGAATATAGGCTATCCAACTCTGGTACACTTGAATGGACGTCAAATGTGAAACCCCAGGTGTACCTCAGTGCTCCTGCTCTGTAGGTGCTTCTGCACCCTGGCTTGCAGAGCCTGTGCCTCCTGCTGCTGCTGCACCCTCACATCCTCCAAAAATTTAACTCAGGCTGAGCAGGATGGGAAGGTGGAGTGGGGTGAGGGGGGAAATTCTCCACTTTGGTTTCAGCAACAGAGCAACAAAGTGAAGCAATCAAAACCCAAACTTGATGGTAAATTGTCTCAACAGCCCCCAGAGGGTATTGGCAAACCGCAGAAAAGTTATTTTTCCTTAGAAAACAGCGTTAAGAGAGCAGTCTATCCAGGATAAAGGGCACCGGTCTGTTCTTGGCTCAGCAGAAATCAAGTTTGGCTTCTGATTTTCATGCAGATTATTGCAGGTTTAGGAAAGGCAATTGCAACTGGTTTTATTTATGGAATATTTAGCTACCAGCACAAGCCGAAAGTTTTTAACAAATTTTATCAAACCCTTTCATTGTAGTTTTTGATGATAAAACTCACCAGGCACTTCATGTGACAAACATTTTGCAGGACAGATTCACACCAGAGAGTAAGACAAAAGAGACAGCTAAATTATGCTTTTTAACAGACAGGCAGAAGCAAACACAAGGCTTTTATTAGCTAATATTTCATTTAAATGCTACCTGATACCGATCCTTGCCTGTGAAAGAAAAACCCTTTGGACCAATCAAATTAACAGCACTTAGATGATAAAATCCAAGTAATTTGCTCCAAAATATTTTAGCCAGCTCTATTTTGTCTCCCATGTAACTAAAGTAGACAGACAGATATGCATACATATCTCTCTTACAGCAGAAAATCAGTACCGAAGTTGGTAGCACGACTGTCCTGCGGTTTGAAGAATAAGCCCGAAAAAGAAGCAGAGGGGGGTCAGCTGCTGTGCCCCCGCGACAGCGGACGCAGCGAGGCCGTCGCAGGCACTACACTGGCTGACATTCATTCTTCAGTAAAAGAGACTCTCCCTGGCTAAATGTGGAGGTTGCCGGCGGGCAGCCCACTGAACGGGCTAAGGATGGGGGCGAGTCACAGAGCTCCGGGGGAGCCGAACCGCCGCGGGCGCAGCGCAGTGCTCAGGGCAGGGAGGACCCTGCTGGGATGCTCAGGAGCGTCAGGGGCTGCCGCCTGCGGCTCAGCTTCCCTGCAGCACGCGGCAGCCACGAGGAACGGCTACAAGCTGGGCAAAGCGGGCCTAATTCGCAGGAAAAAGGGGTTGCTTGAGAAACACTGTGTGGCTCCGCGACATCTTCTCTCTCACCCAGGACTATTTTGCTATCCATTTTCTACCCCGCCTTCCCAAAATCACTGCAGTTTGGCTTTGCAGGCTGGAGACATCAGGACTGAAATCCCACAGCATCCCAGCCCAGCCATTAAATTGTTTAGAAATCAGTAATTAGCCACACAGACATAGCTGGGAAAGGGTCTTTGGTTGGGTTCTTTTTGTGCTTGGTTGGGTTTTTATCTTGCTTTTCGCAGCCCGAGGTTTCTCAAGGGTCTTTCTCCCCTGGAAGCACAAGGTCTACAGATCAGCCCCATCCTTCCCAGGAAGGCTGAGCTCACCGCCGTCACCCCAGCCCAGCACTTGGGGTCCCGGGGAAAACCATGAAACGCCAAGAGAGCAGACACAATGCTCCCAGGGTCACAGCCTTGACCTGCCAGAGACCTGGAGCAGCACAACCCTCCCACGCTCCAGGGGTGGATGACCTCAGGCAGAGGCGGATGGCCAGATAAGCTGCCTGACTCATGCTCTGCTCACACACTTCCTACCCCCTGCTTCTCTGGCACCTCCAAAAAGAGTCCAAATTCAACAAATAGTTGTGGGCACATCCCTCCTTCCTCACCCCCTGCCATGAATTACTGAGGTTGGTCTTCCCGAGGCCTCACTCATTCCTCGGGGCTGTGTCACAATCAAGGGAAAAGGTCTCTCTCTGCTTCTCCGTGCAGAAAAGGTAGCTTGCCCAAGCAGCCGCAACTCCTGCTTAGCCTCCGAGCCGGGCACCAGCACTGCCGCGGGTATTCCAGTTGCATGCTCATAGCCAAAATCCCTGCAGCCGAGGTTTGAGGCCGCCAAGCTCATTTTGTTCGTGATCGGAGGCTTTGCGGAATCAAGGCGAAACAGGAAGGAAAATGCCATTATGGAGCAGCACTTTGAAATGCATCTGAGGGAAATGGTTTTCAACAGCTACACCCAGAGCAGGGACAACACTAATTTCAGAGGTTATATGGATTCCCGTGTCAAAGCTCTATAATGCTGAAGCGAGGAATACAAATGAAACATTTATGAGTCTGCTAAAAGCTATTGATTTAGGTTCCTATTCCTACAACCTCAGAAACCACCCTGCCATTGCTGCTGCTTTCTTTGATCACAGCTCAGATCAGCTACTCAATGTTAACTTTTGATTTGCTTATGCACAAAAAAAGTAAGCAATTTATATAGGACAGCTGTGGAAACAAACACAAAGATTGCAGGAAGGCAGCATCATTTTTTCTGACACTAAGATTAGAAAAGCCATTACTCAGAATGGAAGGAGCAGGTAATTTTGAAATTAAAAATGTCTATATAAAAGCTGCAGCAGTGCCACTTTATATATATTCACACACACATATGTATATAAAAAAAATCTCAGGCTTCTAACATCAAACATCTTGCGCAGGGCACTGGGTAAATCAAATAATATTTCTATGCAATGGGTATTGAAGAGCATCCAGGGACTAAGCTAGCAGGTTCCAGTCCAGTCCTCATTAGGACTGCTCTTCATATCACCTTGTCCCACTACAGGCACCATCTGGTCCCCAGTATAGCTGCAAGCTTGAAAGCTGAAGAGGCCACAGCCCCTTTACTCGGCCTCTCCTGGAGCTGGGTTATGACACTGGATATCACTGGTCACAGATCAACAGGGTTAGACAGACCATCGAACTGAAACTAAAGCAGCCTCTGCACTTTGGTGTGCAGCCATCTCACCAGCAAGGCTTGCTTGTGGTTTTCAGCGACTTCAGACAGCTTGTTTCAAGGGCTTCTTGAGTCCTACCGTAGCTGGGCACAAGCAGAAAAGCAGCAGGTGCTAATTCCTCCCCTCACAAACACACCCCACTGCATCTCTCAGTCTACCAGCGAGCTTGGCATCATCCCACCCATATCAGATGACCAGAAACTGCAGGCAGCAGCTATTTCATCTGATGGGTTTCATCCAAAAATCCAGCAGCCTTATGAACCTCAGAAGCCTGTAACTAAAAGCATCTTCTACGCTTTTCATGATGTGCACAAACATGCTTCAATTAAAGCAGTGTTTGACTGCAGCGGTGAACAGGCTGGAGCCTTGACATGTGCTCTAACAGGCACTTCTCAGAGGCAGATGCACACAGAGCAGAATTTGGCCCCCACCACATTCCTCGCTTCCCTTATCCAGCTACTGAGCTAAAGAGAAAAAACAGAAGCCCTCAGAATGAGGAATATTTTACACAAAGGAACCTATCAGTGGCTCCTTCCAAGCTCCCACCTGCTCTGCGAGAGCTCGGGAGTTATCGGAGTTCGCAGCCAGATCTTCCATCACGCAGGAAGCTATTGCTAGAACAGACGCGTCAATGCGAATAGCGGAAGGCATGACCTGAACAAACTGGGTCCTGGATTTCTCCACGCTGCATTCATTCTTTTTTTCCTTTGAAAGGCAGTTATTGAAAAAAAAAACCAAAACCCTACTGCATAGCCTTTTAGAATGATCTTACTGCATGCAGAGGCAGATGATAACCCTTCTTCCATATGGATAAGGGCAGAGGGGCATCAGCTTTTTGACAGCTATCCAACACTGTCTGCTGGCTACAGTATCCCCCTGGCTGTCTGCAGCCTTTGTACAGCAGATACGGGAAAGACAGGATTTTTCCAGCAGAGCAAGATAAGGGCACTTTGAAAACCCTTCCACCCACCCACACAGGGCAGAGAGCAAGCTAGAAGAGGGGTAGGAGTTGGCTCAGGAAGAAGAGACCCCCTCAGATCTCAGCTTGTGAAGAATACACCCCAGCAGTCTCTCTGGACAGGACAAAGCTGGCAAAGAGAACAAGGGGAAAAACCAAAACCGTGGAGCTGGCCAAACTCCTCACCTGAACAACGGCCACAGTTCTCCTGTCTGAGTGCCTCTTGCTTCCTACAAACCATGCCCCAGCAGAAGGCTGTCCCTCCCAAGCTGGTGGGTTGCCATGTCAGAGTCCTGCTATAGGGAGCTGGTAGGGTCATTTAGGAGAACCTCAGGAAATGCTCTATTAGCTCTTGGAAAACCCAAGCAGTATTTAGAAATTGGATACTTCAAAGCTATATCAGCCTCCGGTCTCCAATCACAAAAGCAATGCATGAGAGAGGACATCTCAGAAGGACTACTGATACATGGACTATATTTAGCTAGTCTTGGGGTTCCCCTCTCCATCTAAAACCAGCAGGCTGTCCACCAACCTCCAATTTCATTCACTATCTGCAGGGAATTGCCAGCTGAGATGCTGCTTCCTTTCAAGGGGACAATATTTAAGAGTGAATAAGATGTTCCCCAGTGGGACTTCAGGGGTTCAAGAACCATTTCTGTTTAGAAGGGCAAAACTACAGGATTTAAGTGTTTTCCCAAGATCGTAAAGGTTGGCTAAACACCAACAAAGAATCTAAATCCCAGGAACCGAAGCTGGCATTTTCTGTTTGCCAATCAGACTTTCAGAGCAGCAGCAAGCAGAACACGTTTTCTTTTTGCCCCACTCAACCATGAACTATTTAAAGCCGTAAATAAGTAAATAAATAAGCAGTACAGTTCCCTGCTGGCTCAGCTCAGAAGACCTAGAAGCTGCTCACGCTGCAGTGGAGATTCATTC